AAAAACTTCCACACTAAACCATTGAAAAATGGTTTAGTGTGGAAGAAACATCGAAGCCTTTTTCCAACGGTCAAAACTCAAGGGTTTAGTGTGGTTTAGTGTGGTGATCAATTAATCAATAAAAAACTGTCAACAAATTTTCATGCTCGAAAGCAAACAATCTGGTTGGATTTTTCGCCTTTCTGTCGTTACACTTGCAATGTTGCCAATGTTTCGCATTAATGTCCTGATGAAAATCTTGCTTAGTTGGCGAACGTTGCCAGACTTCCAGAAAATTCCAGGAGAAATTGTGACTTCTGAAAAGTCCGCAATTCCTGTGAAATAACACTACATGTTCATGGGCAATGTTGCCAAACGTGCTCAAAAATCCGCAACAGCCCTGAAAACCCCGATTTTCTTTAAAAGCTTCACACATTGAGGATAAGCGAGAATGGGCGATTGAAATCGAGATCGAGCGCGCCCCAAAAAAGGGCAAAACCCCTTTCAACGGCCCTCGGCTGAAGCCCTAAACAGTCGCACACGCAAATTGGGCCGCCGAATAAATAAACAGGCGGCGGGCGGTTCGCCCCTTTTTTTCCTTCGCTTGTGGAGAATCGATCGTCGAGTCTCGCTATTGTCGCCCTCAAACACCGTCCAAATGCACCGAAATCCCTAAAGTACAGCTTGGGAAAATGGGGAAAAGCAATTTATCCGGTAGCCCTTCAACGGCCTGGATTGAATTGGCTGTCGTTTCATCCATCATTCAATCAGTTTTTTTTTGTTCTTTGCCGAACAAATGACTAACTAAATGACAGTAAGCAAATTGGCCCTTCCCTAAGGAAACGGCGAGTTTCCTTAGGGATCGGGCCAGGGAATTACAAACGGATAAACGGGTTAAAACATCCAGAAACTGGAAACGATTGAGTCAACAGCGAGCGGGCGGAAAAATTCCGTTTTCCAGGTGAAACCCCTGGATGGTCCCACGTGAAAGTTTCCATTGTGAGGGAAATCGTATTTCCCGCGAAGTTTTCCCGAAGAAAACTTGCCAGTTTGCGTCGTTCTTATAATATTAATTTGCTAATTTAATGGAAAATCAGCCAAGGGCTTCGGAAAACCGGGCGCAAAGCAGGTTTTCCCGCAAGCACCACAAGCCGGCTGAAAGAAAATTTGAATTTCTAATTTAGCGGAAAATCGCCGATTTTAATGGCGAATTATTGCGAGACCGATGGGAAATTTGCCGGTTTTCTCCAAGATTTCCAGGAGAATTAACTTGTTCAAGTTGCCTGAAGAGGGTTGGTCGAAACTTTTCCAGCTCTCGACGGGTTTTTGAATTTCGGAAATCGGCCAAAAAACTGCAAAGTTATGGGCGTTTGAACAGTTGCAGTGTTTGCACCGTGGACTTAACATCTTCTGGAAAAGCCACAGAATAGGCGAGAAACATGCAATGTTTGGTATCGTTTTGAAGGGTTTTTACTGCGGTTTCAAAAGGATTTTTCAGTTTTGAATTTGAAAGAAAAATGTCCAAGATCCGAGCTGGAGGAGCATTTATTTTCCTTGTCGAATGTTTGGGGTTTTACTGTCCAATTGGAGATCCAGAGCTTAGCAATAAAATGCCGTTTCAATTGGCAAAATCGGTCAATAAACAACCAAGTTATGGACGTTTGAAAATTTGCAATGTCTGCATAGTGGACTTAACATCTTCTGGAAAAGTCACAAAATAGGCGAGAAACTAGCAATGTTTGGTATCGTTTTGAAAGGTTTTTAGTGCGTTTCAAATAGAGCTTTCAGTTTTGAATTTGGAAGGAAAATGTCCAAGATCCGAGCTGGAGGAACATTTACTTTCCATATCGAATGCTTGGTGTTTTAACGTCGAATCGAAGAGCCAGAGCGTGGCTATAAAACGCCGTTTCAATTTGCAAAATCCGTCAAGAAACAGCCAAGTTATGGACGTTTGAATATTTGCAATGTCTGCACAGTGGACTTAACATCTTCTGGAAAAGCCACAAAAGAGAGGACAAAGTAGCGATGTTTGATATCATTTTGAAGGGATTTGAGGCAGCTTTTAGATGGAGTTTTCGGTTTTGAATTTTGAAGAAAAGTAGCTATGATTTGAACTTGAGGAACATTTTCTCACCATGCTGAATTTTTTATTTTTTATGGCCCGGTGCAAGAGCCTCAACTTGGGCAAATAATGACGTTTCAATTGGTAAAATCGGTCAATAAACAGCCAAGTTATGGACGTTTGTATATTTGCAATGTCTGCACAGTGGACTTAACATCTTCTGGAAAAGCCGCAAAAGAGACGATTAACTAGCCATGTTTGGTATCATTTTGAAGAGTTTGGAGTGGGATTTCGAATGAAGTTTTCAGTTTCGAATATCGATAAAAAAATAGCTAATATCCGAACTTGAGGAAAATTTCTTCACCATGCTGTATTTTTCTTTTCATATCGCCCGGTTCAGGAGCCTCAATTTCGGCAAATAATGGCGTTTTAATTTGTTAAATCGGTCTAAAAGCAATTAAGTTAGGGGCGTTTGAATATTTGCAATGTCTGCACAGTGGACTTAACATCTTCTGGAAAAGCCGTAAAATAGGCGAGAAACCAGGGATGTTTGGTATCGTTTTGAAGGGTTTTTAGTGCGGTTTCAAATGGAGTTTTCAGTTTTAAAGGAAAATGTCCAAGATCCGAGCTGGAGGAACATTTCTTTTCAAAGTCGAATGTTTGGTGTTTTGACGTCCCATTCAAGAGCCAGAGCTTGACAATAAAACCCCGTTTCAATTGGTAAATTCGGTTAAGAACCAGCAAAGTTATGGGCCTTTTAATTTTTACAATGTCTGCACAGTGGACTTAACATCTTCTGGAAAAGCCGCAAAAGAGACGATAAACTAATGATGTTTGGTATCATTTTGAAGGGTTTTGAGGGAGCTTTCGAACGAAGTTTTCAGTTTTGAATTTCGATGTAAAATAGCTATGATTTGAACTTGAGCAACATTTGCTTTTGAGTCTCGAATAGTTTCACTCGTAACTTTTAACCACATTTTTCATCGGATTTGAATGTTTGGAAAACCAAAATCAATGGAAAATAAGTGCTTGGACCCAGTTTGAAAAATTTCAAAATTCGACCAACGAAAGCGAAGTTGGGAGTTTTTTGACTTTCGAAAAACCTAAATAACTTCCAGGTTTTTCAAAGGATTTTCATCGTTCGAACGCCAAAACTTGGACAAATTTTGCCTCCTTCAAGTGGCGTTGGGTTGATGAAAATACGCCTCACCAGAACAGAGTTACGAGCTTTAGAGTTGCTGTTCCAAAATTATAAATTTGGAAAAATTTCACAAGATTTGAGGAATTCCCGAACATAATTCCAATGGGGGCAGAGATTTACCAAATTTTCACACAAAACTCCAGAAAAAGTCCTCATTCTAAAAGTTTGAGTCTCGAATAGTTTCACTTGCAACTTTCAGATGATTTTTCAACGTATTTGAATGTCCAAAAAACCGAAATCAATAAAAAATAAAAGTGTTTTGACCGAGTTTGAACATTTTCAAATTTCGACCATTGAAAGCGAAGTTAGGAGTTTTTGGACTTTCAAAAAAACCCAATAACTTCCAAGTTTTTCAACCGATTTGGACGCCGAAAACACGAAAATCTATAAAAATGTTCGGGGTTTCAACTGGCCTTTGAATGTGGAGAATCCGATGAAAAACAGCAGAGTTGGGAGTTTTTTGACTTAAAAAATACCTAATAACTTTTAAATTTTGAGCGCACTTTGATGATGTCACCGGCTAGTGCTGGGACGAAACGTCGGCAAAGCCAAACGCGCCGGAAAATCGGAAAAGCCAAAGCAAGTCCAATCGGCAAACGTCTGTGAGAGAAAACGGTGATTTCCAGACGACTGGACATTTATTCAAATATCCAGAAAATGGCACAGAAATCCGGGATCTTTCCCTAAAATAAATACAGGCAAAGCAGTTTAGTTGGTTTAGCAAATGGGGCGACTGTTTATCCAGAAAGTGCCGACTCTGGATCTCTGGACGACGGCGAAATTATAAAACAACCGTCTGGCAATCCGAGAATAACAATTCCGAAGAGTTTTGTGTTGTTTTTTCCCAAACCCTGCCCCCCATTCGCTCGATATTCCAAAGATTCTGCCTGCATTTGAATTTTACTTAACATAAGGAAAATTTAGCTGTTTTGGCAGCAGCGTAATTAAAATAAATAGTTAGCAATGCGGCAGCGTGTTAATTGAGAGTGGTCTTAATCCAAACTTGACTCTCAGAAACGAAAATACCCCGATTATACTATATTTGCGACGGCTTGGCAACACTGCAAATGTTTAATTTGCGGTTTCTTCATACGAAATGCTTCCTAGGACCATTGCGATATTTTCAAGAATTCACTAGGTCTAAGATTGAGAAACATTGACGGCAACATCGCAAATCAGCAATTTCCTTGTTCCAAAAAACGCATTCTCTTGAAAGCTTGAATATTTTGCCAACTTGACAACATCGCAATCAAAAGTTTTCATGGCCTCTCTGAGACTTGGCAGCGTTGAAAGTTTTTGTCCGTTAACAGCGTTGCGAAATTTCACCCGTTTTCATTATTTTCCGAGCAAACTGCTCTGTTGCCTGGAAGAAACCAGGTACTTAGATGTTGTGCGCGGTTGCCGCTTTGCTAGAACTGTCAGCCCAACAGATCTAGACGCCGAACATCAGTTTCCCAATTTAATAATGCATGTCGTTGCTTATTGCCCCCTCCAGAAAAGAGAGGGATAAGGCTATACAGTTTCCACACAACCAACAGAGAGGAGGATAGTGTGGGCAGCCCGAAAAACACAATTTTTATCATCATCAACGAATTTTTCGATTTGCTAGTGGGAAAATTCGTCTTACCTCCACTCGCTCCTCCTTCAGATCGACCTTCAAAGCCAGCTGTTCCCTCAACACCACGTCCGGATAGTGAGTTTGCTCGAAAGTAGCCTCCAACTGTTCCAGCTGTTCCTCGCTGAAGATGGTGCGATGGCGCCGCTTCCGCTTGGGCGGTTGATGGTGATGGTGGTGGTGGGGATGGGCGGCATTTAAAGAGGCGGCCTGCGCAGCTTGGGCGGCCAGCGCATGCACATAGCCTGGGTAGAGGCCGGGGTAGGCCATGGCTAAAATTAAAAAAATTATAACTTTTTAATTTTAAAGCGCCAAAAGTTGACAAGTGATTGAGTGGACGGATTTTGAGTTTTTTTGCTACTCCGAAACTGTCCGGCAGCTCCAGGCAGGCAAATTTCGAAAATTGCAGTTAGTTGAAAAAGGGCGACCAGTGCACTTTGGCGCGTTACTGCGTTAATTTTGAGTATTTTTGAGGAGCGGAAACAGCACTATGTGGAGGAATTAAATGGCTGTAAAATGAGGTTAGAAGTTTTGCAATCCGCCTGAGAACACTTACACGGTTATATTTTGAATTTTTTTTTCAAAATTTGTTTTTGGCCAAATTTGTACGCGACTCCATGCAGAGAAAGTTAGAGAATTGGAGTTTTTTTGGAAAAGGGCGACCAGTGCACTTTTCCTTTTAACTCTGTTAATTTATCAAATTTTTAAGAAGCAGAGAAACGCGTTTAGTTGAAAATTGAAATGCATTGAAAATGAGATTAGAATTGTTTCAAAGCAACTATATGCAAAAAAACTTAAAAACTGAACTTTTTGGAAAAGAGCGGCCACCGCACTTTTGCTCATAACTGCGTTAATTTTCAGAATTTTTGAGAAGCATAAACAGCGTTGTGTAGAGGAATGAACGGCCTGCAAAATGTACAAAAAAATATGGAGAAAACATTTTTTGAAGCAGAAAAAATGGTCAAAAATGCCACAAATTTCCGGGGAAAGTCATACATTTTTTTATGAATAAAATGCTTAACAAATGAGGTTAGAAGAGTTAGAAGTTTTGAAATCGGCCGGAAAACACTTACACGGTTACATTCTGAAAATTTTTTTAGGCTAAATTTGCAAGCGACTATATGCAAAGAAA